AGTGACTACTTTTGGTATCCTGCCATCGTACCAAAGCTGCGTCTTCTTGTGTATGGTTTTTCTGCGTCTTCTATGGTTGTCCCGTCTCTTAGTTCATGTTTTGAATGTATTGTAAGATTGTATATCAAATAGCATCATGTCAGACTCTGCAACTTTCCTTCAGTTATTTGTTTCAATTATATGTCATTGTGGCTGGTTTGTCAGAATCTATGGTTTGTTCGTTTTTCTGTTTCAATTATATGTCATTGTCTCCTTTGTTTAATATGGACAAGAATTTATGGCCGAAATGATGTAAAAATAGCGACGTATATTTTAAGCCGAATTTTGCGATCATTACAGTTCATCGCTAATTTGCGACGAATACATTTTGCAACGAAATTTGCAACGAAATTTGCGACGAATTTTGCAACGAAATTTGCGACGATTTTGCGACGAAATTTTGCGATGAATTTGAGACGAAATTTGCGATGAAATTTGCGACGAAATTTGCGGCGAAATTTGCGACGAATTTGCGACGAATTTTGCGACGGATAGCGTTCGTCGCAAATTTGCGACGAAATATTTGCGACGGATTCTATTCGTGGCTAATTTGCGACTAATTTTGCGACGAATTTTGCAACGAATTTATTTTCGTCGCAATTTTGCGACGAACTTTTAAATTTTCTGTCGCAAAATTTTGCGACGACCTAGTAGCGACGGAATTTTTTCCGTCGCAAAATTCGTCTCAAATTCGATTTGCGACGGATTTTTGCAAATTTTCCGTCGCAAATTTCGTCGCTAATCCGGTGTTTTTTTGTAGTGTCAGTTCCCTTTGGAACCATCGGTTCCAAGCGGTCCCGAGCGGTCCGAGCGGTTCCCGATTCTTTTGCACATCCCTAAATCACATCATGCCTATATAGAACTTTATTAGCATAACAGTTTTTGAGTTACTTTGAAAGTAACAGCATATTGTAAATCATAGATTATTAAAAGAGTATTTTTTTTTTGTGATCCAAAACATGCTATTATTAATCTTATAATAAATTAAGAACTACCACTTAATCATTGTTCTATTCCATATGAAAATTTAAGCAAGATTTTGCATCCCTGGCTAATTGCTACTTTGATCGGGGGCAACACCAATAATCAGTGGTTTGAAAATTGATGCGAACTCACATGCCACGCATTAGGGATTTGAGTATACTGTTGCGAGCTTTTGAATCACGCTTATGTATGAATTACTTTATTGGATTCGAGAGGGGTTGCAACCCACTGCTGCCGGTCCTAAAGATACCAATTTTTGGATACGCGACGAAAGAATTCCCAACCCCAAAAAACTCAGCTTCGATGAGGATGAGTATCTTTAAGGTCAGGCTACGTGAAATACAGCACGCGCGAAAGAGATGGATCATGGTTGTCACATTGACCTCTAAAAAGAACTTTTCTTCTATTTAATATCTTTCATAAAGAGTAAAGCTCGATTCAGATGAATAACCTCGATCCTAAAAGTGTTTTCTATGAATATTCTAAAGCAATCGGAGCATTCCAGGATACCTAGTGTCGGTTGCCAAATCCCACAATGTAATATCTGACATCTGAGAAATTTAAAAAAGAAAAATGTGCTAAAACTTTGATCCACGAGTCATTTTCATTTATTACCTGTTGATGAAGCACTGGCAAATCCAATCTTCCAGTTCTAGTAGTAAGAAATGTCGCGCTCGGTGGAGAAATTCGGTTTTCTGCCTGAAGACATCGCCACCTTCGCCATCCCGGCTTTGTCTTAATTAACACCATATTATAAAATGGTAAAATAAGACATGTTTGAGAAACATCATGTATTGCTTGTGTATATATATGTGAGTAATTTACTCCATATGGTTTTCGCGTGCAGCTGTGCATTGAGAAACAAAACCTAGACAGTTGTTTTAGATTACATATATTTATGCTGAAAAGACACCACGTTTGTGACATCATTAAGCAAGACAATGTCATTTTATATAGTGTAATAAATCTCTGATTGATCGCCGGTTGACTTGTGCTTTGATGTTCTTGAAAGGGCACTATCCCTTTCCTAGCGTAGGGTTCTCACGACTCCGGCCTGCAAATGCATGAGCATCTTTCAATCCATGCACAATATAAAAAAGCAAATTGTCCGGCTAGTCCTGAACCTATTATGCAGATGTCAATTCGGTCTCAGATTTTTCAATTTTGCCTATTTTGACGTAAATATTTGCGTGGGATTTCAATATAGTTCTTTTGGCGTTTCTTGGCCAGAATAACTATATAGGAACTTTGCATAAAATTTTATGACTAAATAGGCGAAATTCGAAAGTTTAAGACTGAATTGATATCTATACAATGGGTTTAGAACCGGTAGGATAATTCTCACGATGAATAATAACCCGTTTTTTCTTATTTTAAAATTGTTTCATTATATCATAAGAATAAGGAAAAAAAAAATTTGGCAGAAACTAGAGAGTTGACCTCGAGGGTCAACCTCGCATGACCCATCACTCGCACCAACCTGACAATGGTCGCACGCTTGGCAGACAAATAGAGATACAGAAATTTAATGGTGAGAACATCAATTTCCGGGTCGAGAACAAGTGTCAGCATCGCCATAGATGTGAGTGCAACCATAACTTCATGACATCTACTCCCAGTCACTGCAAAAACCCTAAGTAAGAACAACTGCGAATGTACACATGATCCCTCATGTCTATTAATACAAACCACCGTAGAATTTTTTCTTTTCATGATTGATGCATTTTATTCGTCTAGTATTTTCGTAAACGATAAAAATATTTATTGCTTATTCATTTTCGTAAGCAATATAAGTAATTATTTTTTGAAAAACATTTTTCAAATCATTCATTTTTTGCGAAATAAATGAAGTCAAACATGTAAGCTCGGTAAATGGCACACAGTGATGTGTCTCTTCTCACAAATTTCGCACCTGTGCATGATCAATGTCATATCACACGTGTGGAACTTGCCATATTACACTGGAATAGCCCACATCTTCTATTCTATTTTCATCATGTTGCTCTTAAATATTAGGGGTTATCGGTTCTAAGGTGAATCGGTTACCACCTTGAAATCAGAAATTGGACCAGAACGATCGATTCCTAGTTTGTGTAATCAGGAATCGAACCACCTGATCTGGTCCGGTTCTTGGTTGGATCTAGGAACTAGTTGTATTCCACACAATACCACAAGTGTTATTGCATAATCTAAATTACTATACGAGTGATGTTAATAGAACAAGCTCATGAAAAATTAAACATGATGATAATCTCAACTAACAAAGCTATAATGATCATCAAGAACCAAGTCTAAGAGGTGTCGAGCCGCGAGGGAGGTGTGAGCGTTGCGTGATTGAGATTGAGAGAAGTGAGAGTGAGAGGCGTGAATGATAAGCGTGTGTGACTGAGTATTAGCCAGAAAAGAATGAGAATTACGGGTTCAGAAATTTGGAATAATAAGAATTAAAAAAAATCAGTCCAGTCCAGGTGATCCTAGTGGGTGGGTCCGCACCAAAATCGGGAACCGCCTAGAACTAGGGGTGTTAATGGGTCGGGTCGGGTCGGGTTTTCATGATACCCGACCCGACCCGACCCGAAATATACAGGGTCACGCTCGACCCGACCCGACCCAACCCAAGACCATGTTCAGCATATACTCCAAGAATAGGGTCGGGTCGGGTCGGTCCGGGTCGGGTTTAGGGTCACAACTGATGCGCTTCTTCGCTCGACAGTCCCCTCCCAGTTCGCCCATCATCCACACCGAATCCCCCGTCTCTCCTTGGGACAGGCTTAGACTTCTCGTTATTCGGCGTTGTCGACACCGGCGACGGGGACTGTGACGAAGACGGAGCAGGCGACGGAGGTGACGCCGCTCCAGGGCTCCTTGCGGCCAGCATCCTCTTCTCGGCCGCGGCGGCCATGAGCTCCCTCTGCATCCGGCGGCCGTCCTCCGGCGACGAGCACCTGGTGGCGGCGGCCGAGGCGGCGGCGGCGTCCCTGGGCTTGCTCCGCTTGGGCTCCGGCGGCGAGTGCTGCATGCTGAGGCGCAGCGCCATCTTCGTGTCCTCCTCCTCCCGATCCGCCATCGCCGACCGCCCCCGCCGGCCCCGCGGAAAGGGATCTCGAAAAAAAGCGCCGAGGAGAAGAAGCAGAAGAAGAAGAGATCTAGGGTTTCTCCTCGGGCGCTCCCCCGACTCCTCCATCGTCGGCGTCGTCGAATCGGCGGCGACTCGCGGAGATCGACGGCGAAGGGGGGATCGATCGCACCGGGGGGAAACGGTCGAAATCGAAGAGGGAGGATCGAAAGCTTTCCCTGATCGGGGGGCCGCGGTCGAGGCTGAACTGGATGGAGAGTGAAAAGGGGGAGACAGAAGTTCACGGCCGAGAGAGAAGAAGCGAAGGGGAGAGAGAATGGGAGAGAGACTGAGAGAGGGAGATGGGTCGGCCCAGAGTGTCAATGGGTCGGCCCATCTAACCCCAACCCTTTGATACCCCAAATTTTAGGGCTCTATTCCAAGAAAATAAAGACCCGACCCCAAAATACTCCAAATTTTAGGGCCGGGCCGGGCTGGCGAGGGTCGGACCGGGCCGGCGCGGGTCTTTTTGACACCTCTACCCAGAACTGTCCAGTTTGGTCCAGTTTTTTTGCTCACCCCTATTAAATATGATTCGAAAGTCATGTCACATATACCAGAATTATTTCCATAATATCTTTATTTGCACTCTAATATTTTCAGTAATGTATTTAATAAGAGTACATATATATATTCACACCTACTTTGGAATTACAGTAATCTCCTATATATGTCTCCCCCATCAACCACCATTTCCCTTGTTCCCATCTCTCTCTCTCTCTCTCTCTCTCTCTCTCTCTCTCTCACCATTTCCCTTGTTCCCATCTCTCTCTCTCTCTCTCTCTCTCTCTCTCTCACCATTTCCCTTGTTCCCATCTCTCTCTCTCTCTCTCTCTCTCTCTCTCTCGTTTCGTAGCCGAGACTAGCAACGGACTTCTGCCGTGACGGCAATGGCGGCAGGACCTGCATCTCCGGCCAACAAACCGCCCCATCCTCCAGCGGCGACGCAGATGCGGCAACTACACCCCATCCTCGCCGCCGACGCATTTGCGAGGGACGGGATGGTCGCTTGGTTCCGGGGCGAGTTCGCGGCGGCAAACGCCATCATCGACGTCCTCTGCAGCCACCTGGCGGAGCTTGGCGGCGGAGCGGGATGGTCGGAGTACGGGCCAGTGTTTTCTGCGATCCACCGGCGGAGGCTGAACTGGATCCCCGTGCTGCAGATGCAGGAGTTCTACTCGATCGCCGAGGTGGCGGCGGAGCTGAAGAGCGCGGCCGCCAGGAGAGCAGCGGCGGCAGCGGAGGAGGAGTCGGTCGAAGTCGAGGGCGAGGGGAGGAGCGAGAGCGTCGGGGTCGAGGAGGTGAAAGACAGCCTGCGTTCGAAAGGAGAGAAAGAGGGAATTTCCGAGAAAGCGATGGAAAGCGACGGAAACGGCGGCGACGGCGACGGCGATTTCGAGATCGTGGACGTAGAGGACGATTCGCCGGCGACTGCGAGTGATGTTACCGACGCAGGTTCGTTCGTTGTTCATGCTCCTTCCTCTGCGTTTCGTTCGTGGACTATGATATCAGCCCGCATGCTGTAGGCAAAAAGTATTCGACAATTACAAGGTTTATTATTCTTTTCATTACACTAAAGAGTTAATTAATTTTTTTCGACCCAAAAAAAATTGATTTTTCAATATTTGTATCACTCTATGTATATCTCAATTTATCTAAATGCATTTTCGAAGAAAAGTGTGGACGGTTTTAGATACGTACGTTAAGATATTTGAAGTCCTTCTATCAACCATTGGGAAAATAATTTCGAAATTACCTTTACACGTGAGGATTCGTGTCGAATTCAGAATTGAGACTTACTAAAATATTTAGTCTTGGGCCATTCGTGTTTTGTTACAATAACATCTGAGCGAGAATTTTTTTCAAATGATTTATCATAATTAACTCTAAATGTTTCGATGGCTCGATTACCAAATATACACTAAATGAATTATGTGTCTCTTTTGAAAAGGTGATGTAGTGTTTTTTCAGCTAGACACAGGTTTTTTAAATTCTTGAAATGCGAAATTTCTTCTGTGGAATGCTCATGAAATTGTTTTTTTAAATCGTGAATCCTTTGCTGCGAGGAACATTTTGCTATTTTTTTTCCTTAAAAGATTCTCCTTATTTGAATTTCTTTCTACTGAATTATCAATTTTATACTTTTCATGAAAACCATTTTCGATTTGTTACTTCTTCGTCTTTTTTATGATTGCACGGGTGTGGGAGACCCGGTAATCTAGAGATCCGTGAAACACCCTGCGAATCCACGGTCCGATAAAAAAGAATTTTCATTTGTGTAAGAGAACATGCGTGCCTTTAAATGTGAGCTTTCACATGACTTTTATATTAAGTCCAAAGTGTTTAATTTATTTTTTTCTCACCATTCCTCCGATCTTCTCTCGATCTCAACGGGAAAGAGGACACGAACTCTGTTTCTGGATCGAATTCAACGTACGAATTCTTCCCTTTTGAATCCTTTGTTCTGGGCCCAGATCAGTTTTCGCGGAGATCCACGTCGCGAGAACTGAATCTAGAACTGGGTCGTCGTCGAATGACCTCCCCCGTTCTGTTCAAAACGTCGACTTCGATGGGTTCTTGCAAGCGGAGCTTGCGATTGGTTGGAGCTGTGCTTCTCATGAAGGTCTCATTTGAACGTGTTAAGCAAAAAGCCAAGAGTAACCAGCATCTTAAGATCCGCCAACGCACAACAGTTTTCTGTCCGTGTCTGAAAATTCGATGTTGATCAAGCTCACAGCGAATCGTACGGCGACCGTCCAGTTTGGATTCCAATAGTGTGACCATGACCAGCGGCTTTCTTTAAATAATTTGACGTTACTCGGGCTTTGTTTCCAACGGTCGTAACCGTTTTGGCTGTCCGGTATCGACAACTTGGCTGTTCATCCCGGAGGAAGTTTTTGATGTTGAGCGCATCGACAAGGCAAAGAGCTCCGGGCAGAGTGGATTCGGTTCGAATATGTACCGGTTTCAGTCTCCGACCAGAATTGTTGTACCCAGAATCAAAGTGATAGATAACAGAAAACATTAAAAGGAAAATGCAGTCGAGTCGAGCGTGTTTGTTTTCCTCATTCCAAGGACATTATCGCTCGAATTACATGAACTTATGATTGTCTCTTAAACAGCGAACAGTTCTAAAAGCTGCATTGAATTTTAAGTGGAGCTTTTGATGGTTGCTAGAATAAGCAATCCAGAGTGATTGGCATTTTTGCAGCTCTGCCTCTTGATCTAAGATCAATTAGGATTGGAATGACGATTTTCGACTTCAATGTCGAGTCCTTGATTTCGCCTTTCCTGCAAAGAAAGCAAAGACGGATGGAAACTCAAAAACTTGTCCTCTTTAGCTGATTGTGGAGCCTCTTTTCTACCTACTGTAGATATCTATTGATTCACATGTACGTTCTCGTGATTAACATCAGGTTCACAAGAGCTGCAGCCCACGCCAGAAAAACTCGAGATATGCTTCGACCATGAGGACTGCGGGGGGCGTTTGACCCGGATCAAATTGACAAAGGATTTCAAAGCAAAGGAAGCAGTTGAAGGGCATATGGCAAGTTTTCCATCCAAACTAGAAATCTTCTTATCTTTTAGCGAGAATGAGCTTTTGAATCTTTTCATCTAGTCTTCCATGCATGAAGACGGCAATAGGCCATCACTGATGGGAGAGAGTTAACACTGGCAGGTGAATGTCGTGAAAGGTCTGAAAATGTATGAGGACATATTCACTGCTTCAGAGCTTTGTAGATTGAATGACTTCGTTGATGAACTCCGTGCTGCTGGCCGAAATGGAGAACTACCTGGTGAGCTTCCCTCGATGGTCACTGTGTCTGAACAAAAGGGCATCTTTACATTCAGTGTGTGAGCTCTATAATAGAACTAACATATGCAATTACGTAGGTCAATTGCTTATATGCTTTTTGTTTCCTAAATGATAGTACGAAATTTGACTTTACAGGGGAGACCTTTATATTATTCAATGAGCAAATGAAGGGAAACAGGACAGAGTTGATTCAGCTTGGGCTTCCAACTTTCAAACATATAGAAGAAGATACAACAGACAGTGCAAGAAGTAAGTCCGCTAGGATCTTTGATGGGATTATTATGCAAGGAATAAGTTTTTCATTAAGCTTCATTTGCGAGTGTCCATCTTGTATTTACAGGTAAGATCATGCCCATTCCAGCTCTTCTCCAAGATGTCATAGATCACCTGGTTCAGTGGCGGTTACTGCCGGAGTATAAAAAGCCGAACGGTTGCATCATTAATTTCTTCGACAAGGTATGTTTTTTGATTAACTGCATCAACGCGGGTTTCCAGTACTTCAGGACAGACTTGGCAGGATATAATGCTCTGTATAGTGTTCCTAGCAGTTTGGTTTTTGAGATTTTAAGACTTAGATTCAATTTCAAATGGATGAGATGTCAAGTACAAGACACATTTTTCACGCAGGGTGAACGTTCAAGGCCTTTTCTAAAACCTCCCCATTTGGATCAGCCGGTCTCGACTCTTTTCCTTTCCGAATCAAGAGTAGCATTTGGCCGTTCTCTGATGAGTGATCACAAGGGGAGCTACAGAGGCCAGCTCATGCTTTCAATGAAAGAAGGGTGAGTTATTAGTGATTGTATTGAATCTGGAGTAGCAGATATCGAAATACTCCCTCCCCCCACCTTCCTTTAATCTCTATTTTCTTGTTTCAGTTCTGTATAGAAAAGTTAAATAGACGAGACTCTCACGACAGAAGACTTAATGATGATGTCTAGAGCTTGTTGCAGACATATGTTTATGCAGGACATGTGCACTGGAAGTAACTTTGTTTATATTAGATGCTGCACTTTCATTTACATTTCCCATTGTTTCAAATTTGCTGCTGAAGAACCTTCTTTAGTTTCCTGCTAGTTGAACATTTATAATGAAGGAAATAAAACCCTGAAAAATATTAAGTTTCTCAGTCCATTCTCCACGGCTGATCTGAAAATTCTTCTTTTATATCATGGAAACTGGTTGGCCACATTACTGTCTTGGATTCGTTGTTCTTCAATGTGAAGCTTCTATAAGCTTATCGTGGACATATGTTACTGCTGCTATTGATGGATTTTGTAGGTCTCTTTTGGTGATGAAGGGAAAAAGCGCCTGCCTGGCAAGACATGCCATGTGCCCTTCTCCAGACAGGAGGGTTGCCATTACATTCTTCAGGATTCGTCCCGACTCCAGCCAAGACCAAATCAAGTCATTAACCAGTGACATGGCCCGATGGCAACCAGGCATCAGGAGCCCATTTGCCGCATCAAATGCAGGTCTCTATGGCTATGAAGCAGTAGACATGATACCCCCATTGGGAATCCTCCGTGCTCCGGTGGTCATGTTGGCCCCGATACACCCTATGTTGTTAAGTCCCAATAAAATCCAACCTGGAGGCACAGGGGTATTCCTGCCTTGGCCCATAAAATCAAGGAAACCAGCACGATACCTTCCACCTCGTGCCCAGAAAGGAAGGCTTCCTGATCTTCCATCACCAGTTGAGACACATGGAGCAGACTGCACTACTTTATCAGGAGATACTGTGACACAAACTGGAGTCTCTCTTGAAAATGGCCGTCTTTAGGCGCAACCATCAAGGGCTTTTTAATTACAGTCAGCATTAACTCGACACTTGAGAAAAGAAAAGGCCCCGAAGTTGGCGGATTCTGTGTTGGCCATGTGCCCAACGTTAATATCCAACGTTAAGGACAAACGTGTTGTTCGGTCTGTTAGTATTAATCCCGAAGAAAGTCTGACTTGAACTTAAATCTACTGGAGGCACTGGATAGAGAAACAGAACACTTTTTTGGAAGCTGTGAGCCTCTGCTGTGACCTGTTCTCGTATGGCTTTATAGCAGCTTTGTTTGTTGTTAAAACAAGGTGTCTGCTGTTTCATGATTTCAAATACCCTTTTTTCGTGTCATATCTTATGAGATCAGGTTCTAATGTTAGGACCAAGCAGTTAGGTCTATGTAATTTCTTGTAGATGCTGATCGAAACGAAGGATTGTGATGTTGTGATGACAAATGCCTTACTGCTTGCCTGGTTCTCACCGGCATTTCGGCGGCTCATGCATCATCTGAGCAAGAGCATGCTGCGGAAGCGCTCAAGTTGTGCTATTGAATTTCTGTCTTATTTTGCGAATAGAACCTCAATAAAATGCATACTTTCTCATGTTGCTGTGTACTAGTTTGAAAGATGAGAAGAGACAGGCCAGATAAATGTCAATATTTATGTGCTTTGAAAGGTTTAAAATGTTCGGTATCAAATACAAAACCTTATGATGAAACGAAAAAGAAAGTCCAATATAAAATAAGCCGCTCAGATAAACCGATTTACATCATAGCACTTAACCATGCCAGTTTCATAGGAATATCTGTTCAATCCATTATTTCTCGAGCCGGATCAATATGGAATATCAATCAAGCACGATAAATTTTCCGACAAGTTCTTAAAAAGCACACATCATAGTTCCTACAAAAGTTCTGCAATAATCAGATTATAATTCCCTATGTTGGGGTGCTGTTATGCACGACAGACTCATCGGGCAAAGCATGTCAACCGTCGGATCGAATAGGAAAAATGCCAACCGGTGGATGATGAGCAGTGGTGTAAGACTAACAAATCCAAGAAAATCCACCCTTCTCTATTTGCAAGATTGCGCTAGGCATGAAACTGCAACAGATAAATCACAGTTGAGGACACAAACTAAAACTTAAGACGGTTTTTGATATCTTGAAACTAGAACAGTCTTTCGCGAGAACTAATAAACAAATAATTAGGAGCTTCACATTAGCTCCTAGAATGGGGGCGAGTAGTTTTTCCGTACAAAAAAAAAGAAGCAGTAAGGCTGAAGAAGTTAATCTTCAGATACATTATCGGTCGAATTAATCAAACCTAGAACGGTTTAACCACTTTAGACGTGAGAAATGAACATATAAGAAGAACCAAAGGCTGTAACACTTACTGTGGATTATCCGATGTTACTCGCCATTTAAACTCTTGACGAAACGAGCACCATCATCTTGCAAGGTCAAGAAAAACTTAATGCTGTTTATATAAGCAAAAATAAATATCTAGTGAATACATATCACTCCCCAATAACAGCTTAAACCTCGAGCAATGTTAGCTTCGAATGTTGTCCAATTTGTTAAATGAGAAAGAATAATCTTTGGCAATGTTAGTTTTTTGTTTCTTTTGGTCAACTACCCACAATTCTTTTTTTACTAAAACCCATTTTCTTTGTCCTCTCGTAGAGATCAACACTTCAACCATCTCTCTTCTTCTTTTTTTTTTTTCCATCACACAATATCTTCCATATTATTCCTCTAACGAAGGTTTTGATGAACGGTAGAGATCATAAGGTGCCCACAAATGGTCAACCGTGCATGGCTTTCTTGAGTCCAACCTTAGCCAAGGCTTGCCTTTGCCACTCCAATGGAGGAGGCTTATGGGGCCAGGATGGAGAGCCCTGCATTTACCTTCAAGATTGTCACCACCCAGGCCATGTTGATTCCATCTGTGGTCAACCGCTTTTATGTTCCCGGCCAAAACAAGCAAGAATGGAGGCAATGAGCCCAAGTGGTATATCCTCTTTTGCTTTTGCACAGCCATCCATTCCTCCACTTTTTGGGTGTACCTTCCTTGCCTCCACTTCTGGACATCGACCACCATCACACCGGTGTTGAAATAGCATGGCCTCCGCCCATCGAATGTCCTCGGCAGGACAGGGTCCGACCAGAAGAGCTCCGTGAAGTACTTGGTGAAGTTGGCATGGCAGTACTCGGGGGCGGCCAGGACCTTCCCCTCCAGGTCCACCTGCCACAGGTCTGCGATGTCGTCCACCACCACGAGATCCGAGTCGAGGTAGACTACACGCCTGACGTTGGTGGGTATTAGGTCTGCGAGGTAGATCCGTGCATAGTTGAGGGGCTGGTCGAGCGCTTGCCGGATGGACTTGGATATCTTGCCGCGCACCCGGTTGGAGTCAAAGCGGTAGACCTGGAAGCGGAGGTAGGGGAAGGTGGAGTTGATGCTGGATAAGACCTCAGGCTCGAGCCGCGTGAAGAGGAAGTGGAACTCGAAGTTCTCGGGGCAAGTCGAGTGCTGCAGGATCGATAGGACGGCGGCCATGGTGCCCCTAAGATAATTGGCGTCAAGGGTCATTGCAACGTGGATGGTGGCATTGCTCGGCGGGGAGCTGCAGGCCTCGCCATTGCGGAACGCAGGGGCCTCATGGAAGACAGGTATCTCTGGGGACGACGGCTTCCGGATGAGGCTATGATGGATGCCACCGTAGGGGGTGGCGGAGGCGGCCAAGGGGCGGCATAGGAGGAGGAAAGACAGGAGGCCGGCGAGGAGTGGGAAAGGAGAAGGGCTCCAAGAGGCCATCCTGCCCTATTTTGAGGGGTTGTTAATGGGGAAATTTAGAGAGAAAGAAATCCAGGAGATGATCAGCCATTGTCAGGCTGGCCAGGAGAGTCTAGGAAACCAAAATGTATTTCAATGGAGAGAGAGAGAGAGAGAGAGAGAGAGAGAGAGAGAGAGAGAGAGAGAGAGAGAGAGAGAGAGAGAGAGAGAGAGAGAGAGAGAGGTTGGTGAGATTGCAGGGATGAGAAAACTTCTCGGAGGAGGAAGCTGTTTTTCAATTATTGTAAGAAGAGATTCATGTCATGTTTATGGCAAGGAAATTGGGGAAATGGGTATGAAATCAGACAAACATTCTTCTGCTGCTCTCTCTACGGAAATAGTTATAGGATTGTTGTTGAGCTTTTGTTTGGCCCCTCCATTGTCTCCGCAAATGCAGACGAGAGGATTTTTAGGGAAGCTTTTCAGGGTATGCTGTTGGATTCTCTGCCTCGTATGGAGAATTCTGGTGCACGAGTTAAGGTTCCAATAGCACATTCTCTAATACATCAAATAACTTCCACTTTCCTTGAGCTATATTAGGGTGCATCTTGGATCTGTATTTGACTAATTGCGAGAAAGAGACTCATAGCCCCACCATTTCTGGTCATTGCATGTGAATTTAGATAGAAGGCAAATAAACAGAATTCAGGATTAAACAGAATAAGCTCACAAACTCAATTTACCTCAATAATATCTTACATGTGCCTAATTCTGAATTTAACCTCAGTTTTCTGGCAATGGCTTCGTTTGAACTACGATTGCGGAGCTCGGACACAAAGTTTGTTCATTTTTGCTTCGAGTTTTTTACTTTTACAGCTCATTTTATTTCCCTCAACTTCTTTTTTGTCCTAGCGAAGGAACTTAGATGAGAGCCTTCTGAGAGGATATTCCGTCTCAGAAGTGACAATGATCAAAGGTGAAATCATACTCATGATCTCTTCAAGTATAACATAACTACACCTCTAAAGCTGTTTTTTCGATAGAAATACACGGTTCTAAATCTTAATGATGAAGCTCACCTCAGCCTCCAAATCTTCGGAGAAGTATGGATGCATGACATTGATTGAAGAAACACAACAACATCTTTATATCCTTAAATTAATCTATAACAGTTCTGTTCCTCTTTCCCAAATTGTATATATGCAAATTATTGTACGCTACTCTGGACTCCCTTACCCACACCCTAGAAAACAAAAGTAAAGAGACCAGATAGAATTCGCAAAGGCAAGAAAATGAGCGGCAACCAGATTTTGACTTCATTGAGGGATCGATTCTCATGATTATACAAGAAAAGATGCTCCCTTTTTTCTCATTGAGGCAATTGCTCAAACACTGCTCACATACCGAGAAACCTGCGTTTGATGGTATGTTGCTCAGGAAAGGTCGCCTATGCATCATGAGGTAAAGGCAGAAAAACTTGCACAGTCAGACGCCCGACTCCGAGCTCATAGATACAGTTTAAGAGATGTCCTTTTTAGGCCTTTACTCTGTTTTTTGGAGCCACCCCATCTGTTTCAAAGTAGGAAAATAACAGCCATCAATGGACAATGTATCATTAAATTTAGAAAGGGAAATCAAAATGCAAGGCCTTACCTTCCACGCATACATTGCAAAGAAGGCCACGGTATCTGCAGACCAGACAACCGCAAAAGACTTCCAAAAGAACGGGATTATTACATTGATTAATGGGATGAGAAGGAACAGATAATTAAGGGCTTCTTTCTCATTCTTTGAGCAGTCTCGGGCCCGAAGAGAAGGAATTGCTGCAAAAATTAAGCAAGATGTTTATGATGCTGCCTTAAGATTAACAAGGTTAGAGTACATTTAGGTGGTAGAGAAACTAGATAAACACACTTCGCAGGTATTATTTAAGTTGAGCATTAAAGCGGCGCCCATTCAGCTAAAGTGGAAGAAAAGAGAAGTGTAATTGCTAAAAACAAAGTAACTCTTTCGGTTAATTTCAAAAGCCACCCCATTCAAAATGTACCTGATTATGGTCTAAACGAGCAAGATGAAACATCAATACTCCCACCAACTCTCAAAATTTACCACAGGCAGAAACAGCTTCAACCTAGGGGCACCATACCCTTACCGTGACCGAATAAGTTTTTGGTTTAGTTCCCATCTTTCCATCTCGTGAAATTACCGAACATCCAAATGTATTTTAAATGGTATAAGAAGGGTGGCACTAGCAATTCCATATTTATTAGATGGTAATCTTAACTTTGAGACATAAAGTTGGAGGATGACTTACTGAACATCCAAATAGACCACATTCCCATCAACCTCCATATATCGGGCTCGTTTGATGGAAATAAAAGATTGAAAGACAGAGCTCCACCGAGAAGCAACGATGCATAGCCTTGAACCTCAAAAACTGTATATAAGGCAGTTCCTGGAACAGCAGGGTTTCTCGTGGCTGTCGAAGCCCTTGGAGCAAAGGTTGAAGCAGTCTTTTGAACCACCTGTTTTTAAGATGCGACGAAACAAGAACATCAAGAATAATAATCATATAATCATTCAGAGCTCCAGAAGTGAACGTTTCATGAGACACATGCGGGTCAGATGAAAAGATTCAGCCAATTGAATGTGTAGTTTCCTTAAAACAAACATCATACCAACTTAACGGACTTCTAGATGTGATATTCATCGAGTAAAACTGCAGAAAATGTGTCCCGCGCTTGGTTTCTTCTGAAAAGAATGGTCGTGTAAGAAAAAAGTAAAAGGGTGTCGGACCCTGACATAAGTTCTAGATTCTTCAAAATCATTTCCTCAGTTCCTCCACATGCAGACATCAAAAACATGGCCATCCGGATCAGTTGAGCGAGATTTAGAGCTAAAGAACATTTCAGGGGAATTCCATGAACGAGGAATCAGATGCAAGATCAAGCTCCAGTGAACTTGGAATTCTAAAATCATCCCATCACGCGCAAGTCAAGAAGCCAAGAGAAAGTTCACCCAAGAATCCAAGAAAACAAAGACGGAGCACACGTACCTCAAGAATCAATCCAAAATCACCAGTAGCAAGCAAGCAAGGCCAAAGAAAAAAAAAACATAACCGACCAAAAAGACGGACCTTCTTGAGGTCCCTCTCGAGCGCCGCATTCGAAGCCGACGTCGAAGCGGAGGGCCTGTCGGGTACGTCCGGTCGTGCGGCTTCTTGCTTTTCCTCTCCTCCTTGCTCCGCGACGGCCGGAACCTCTAGCTCGTTCGACGAACTTGCGGCGATCTTGAAGCTCCGGCTGCGACGGCGAGGAGGATGAGGGTAGCCATCTCCGAGGAGGAAGGTGGAAGGAGCGGCCTTGGGTGAGAGATGGCGTGCCCAGATGGACGTCGTCGACGCCAGCATGTTCGTCGGCGAATTCTCACTGCATGTTGTTCAAGAATCGGGATTGCGTCCACGCCCTCTCGGGCAGAGGAAGAGAGACAGAGAGATAAGAAATGTATGGTAGGCTGAGACGGGTCGGGTCTAGGAAAAGAAAATTATAAAAACTGATTTTTTTTTTCAATTATTAAAAATTATAAGTAAATAAATTGAGGAAAATTAATAAAAGCATCCATTTGGTTGAACCAAATCGAAGACGATGCATGCAATATCTTTATATTCAGCTAGGGCCGCAAAAATTACAAGCGTCATTTTGCAAGGTTATTGTAATTAGACTCTAGAGATATGAGGATTAGATTGAGATCCTAAACATTTCAAGATAAAAAATATATATGCAAAACTCAAATCATCATTTGAGATTTACTTTTTTAAATCATTATATAATATTTGAACATCAATGCACGATGGTGAGTGGTCAACAAATATCTGGCTTCGATGACAAAACCAATATATAGCCCATTATTGTAAATTTGGCTAAGTGTTGGACACGAGGAGAAAGAGAAAGGAGACAGAGTGAATATATCAGGGATGGATATGGAGCTATGGTAGCACAATAATAGTGCTTCAGGAGTTGTAATTGTAGAGATGCAGTTGTAATCACATTTAGAGTATTATCTGCTTATAAATATTTGCATTTAGTAGCTATTAAAGGCAAGCATGTAATTATTAGAGACTGACCCCCATAATAAAAAACACATATTCCCAATATACTTCTATCAATTTATTAATGTTAATGTCTTTTCAGTTTCCCTCATTTCCTCGTCTTGTACCTTCAAATTCATCGTTATTCTTCTTTGTCACGCCGATTCAAATCTTATCAGAAATCATCCTCTCATAAAAAATCAAAGATCAACTTTTCTATGAAAGATTTTTCACTAATTGAGTCAACACCCATTTCTGATAAAACATATATAATCTCAAACCTATGCGTTGTGGCAACTATATTAAGAAAACGAACCCAAATAATAGGGCTATCAAGAGACCACCAAAAATAGAATTCCATCAAGATATATTCTGCTAATCCTGCGGAATTCCGGTCGGACCGGTCACCGATTCTGCGGATGGTTCCGGTCCGGTCTGACAAGACCGCCTTTTTCTCGAAACGGCCACGATTCAAAGATTTTCAACCCTCGAGGGCTACAACGGTTAAACTTCGGAGTCAACTTCTGACTTTCAGACAGACTCGAAGATCCTCTCCAGGCGTCCCTTCGCGGCACGCTAAGTTGCGCCACCACCGACAGCAGCCCCCTCCCCTTCCCTTAACCTGCGCACCGTCTCGCCGGACGAGATGGCGACCGGCGGCGAGGTCCTGGAGAAGCTCGAAGGCCTCACCCGCGACGCCGCCCGCCACCAGCTGGAGACTCTCCGGTCGATCCTCGAGCGCAACGGCGAAGCAAGTTATCTCCGCCCCTTCCTCGGCGGCCATCCCGCGCCGGAAATCGATGTGGCCACTTTCCGGCGCGAAGTCCCTCTGACTAGCTATGACGACTACGCCGATCACATCAATCGGATGGCCGACGGGTTAGTCGACGGCGGCGACCCGATCCTGTGTGTTGATCCTCTCGTCTGTTTCTTCTACAGGTATCGTTGTTTTGTCCACGCAACAATTCCAAGATTCTGACAAGTTACGGTAAAAGTTCGGAAATTTAAGTTTGTTCTGACGAATGCTTGTGGAATTGGGTGTTTGATTTAGATGAAACTAATCATAGAGAAAATGAGAAGACACGAGGTTCTTTATTTTGTTGAGTGATTCACCTTAACTGGAAGCTTCAGCAATTTATGTCGAATTCGTGTCGTTTTAGAGTTGATCGAATTCCTGTTCCCATGGAACAGTCGAACCATGTCGGAAAACTGAAACAAACTAAGAAAGCACGAGAGTAATGAGTTGATTGACTCTTGCTTATCGGTTAATGCCCAATAGCTATTCGATTGTTGTGGACTATATTCATTGTGTTCGATTGGCAGCTCGGGAACAAGTTCCACGAGGCCAAAGCTGATACCTTTCTTTGATTCGCCTCTGTCGAGAGCGGCTTCATTCATAGCTCACCAGGGGAGTGCTGCAGTACTTGGGAGGTAAATTTTCCGTCCCGAATCAATCAGTCTCTTGTTATGCCCTTCTAGCAATTGTCTTGCCGTCGTATGTCACTTTTGTCGATGATTGGAGTTCTTCCGCGTTTTTCGAGAGTAAGAGGAAGTTTGAATCTTTCTTAGGTTGTTCCCCCCGAGGCCATTGACGACCAAGAGTCTCTTGTTTGTTTATGCTGGTAATGTCACTCATACCAAGGGTGGTTTCAAGGCAATAGCAGCGTCGGCGTACCCGTTGCATTATAACAAAACAAGCTTGTCGCAGTTTCTGTCTGCTTCCATTAGTCCGCGAGAGGTCATTCTGGGATCGGATGTCCAATGCCAGATGTACTGCCACCTTCTTTGTGGCCTTAGACACTTCGATTCTATCGACAGTATCCGAGCGCCATATGCCGTTGGTTTAGTTACTGCATTTTGCCTTCTGAAGGAAAAATGGGAGATGCTCTGTGAGGACATAGAAAAGGGGGTCCTGAGTTGGGAAACCTCCGACATGGCGATGAAGGATTCCGTCAACGAGGTTCTTGGAGGGCCTCAGAGGGATCTGGCTGAAAGAATTAGGTCGATCTGCAAAGAGAATTCATGGGATGGGATTCTGATTAAGCTATGGCCAAATCTTAGGTACGTCAAGTGCGTAACGACGGGGAGTATGATGCATTATTACCCGAAACTCAAGAGCTATGCGGGAAAAGTTCCAATATTAGGTGGAGACTACTTCGCCTCTGAATGCACCATGGGCATTAACTTGGAGCCGACACAACCTCCCGAGAAGACCCGGTTTGTCATGCTTCCAACAGGGGCCTATTTCGAGTTTCTCCCCTTTGATTCTAATGAAAACAGTGTTGCTGACAGGGAAATCGTGGATGTCTCGGGCGTCAAGGTCGGGAAGGTCTATGAAGTAGTCGCTACTACTTACAGAGGATTTTATAGGTACCGGCTGGGCGACATAGTCAAAGTGACAGGGTTTTACAACTCATCTCCTGAGCTGGAGTACGTGATGAGAGCTCCTAAATCTTCTTCCGAGGTAGTAACTGAGAGGGACTTGATATCCGTGGTCGAAAAGACACGAGTCCTGCTTGAAGATGTCTTAGAGGCGGAAGTCACAGAGTACGCTAGTTTCTTGGACTTAAACTTGAGCCCCAAGCAATTGAAGGTTTATATAGAAGTCAAAGGCGTCTCATTCGAAGACAAATTGAAGGACAGTATAATCGATCTTACAGGGTGCTGTGCATCGCTGGAGGACGACTTCGGAGGCCTCTACAAGGTGCACAGAGAAAGAGGCGAACTCGGGCCTCTGTTGGTGTACATTGTAACTCCCGGAAGCTTTGATAGGTTATTGCAGATCGCAACCGAGAAGGGAGCGCCCGCTAGTCAGTATAAACATCCCAAGATTATCAGGAACCGCGAAGTTTCTGATTTCCTGGAAGGAGCTGCTCTTGCTACTCTGCGTTCAGATTCAAAGGATGTCTGAAAATCATCCTATATTTGGGTCGAGTCTCAACTTGCCTCTCTGGATCATTGTACTTCTTCGAGTAATTTGCATGCTTTCTGATCGGTGATCTCGCTGGCCCCCTCTATGATGGATTTGGGTCAATTACAACCATTGATCATGTGCACATTGCATTAGTCTCGCAAAATAAAAAATTCATGATTGTGTCTGACCATGAATCGCGGTCGAACCAAGTGTTTCCCGATTCCCACCATGTCGGAAATGGTTCTAGACCTATTTCAGGTGAATGTGGATTTCAATATGGAGATATGATACAAATTGTATTTCTTGTTTACGTCCTAAATGCACGACCATACTGTAATTATCCCCATAAAATTGTTATGTAGAATATGTATAACATCTTATGATCAAAATTTCTATAGTTCTCCGAAAATGAACCCTGTAAATCTAGTATGTTTTTCAATGGCCCTACTTCCTAACTTAGCTTAGAGAGAAACTCGAGTTAGCTTTATCCTTTTCTGCTTAGCTCTTGATCTTAATCCTGTTTTGAGTCCATTTTGGTCGAGTGTAAGTTTGGATATTTCATGTTAACCGAAGAAAATTTCGATGATTTCCTAAAAATTCGGGCCTTCCACACTAGCCAACGAACAACTAGATCAAGACTTTGTTTGTATTTGGAGATAGTTATTAAAGACAGGATCTTTTCGAGGTACCCGATTAGAACTTCATCACCGTTCCACTTAGTATTTTGGGTGAAGTCAAGAATCATGTGGGGATCCTACGGTGAGAGATTTGCAGGATCAATGTGTCCATTCAAATGGCTTCTCTGAATCGCGAGGAAGTCGCGAGATGGGGCTTTCTCGCTTTTCTAGCTTTCTTAGTTGATTTGGCTATATTGATGTAGCATTTTCTTGAAGGGCACAGACAGTTCAAGCAGCAGAATCGAAATGGTCCAAGATTCGCTTTCGACCCGGTGCCTCTTCTTCTTCAACTAATTTGAGAAAAATATAAGTTGAAAAAACTTCTGTGCCTATTGGTAAAGACTGAGTTTGGCTAACATATCCAGACAGCTTGGCCTTAAGCCGAAGTTTTGTTATTAGTACATAATTTCAAATGCCTTTGGCGCGGATTTGGACTTTGAAAATACTGAAATCTCAAAGACATGTTTCTTTCAAGGGGCCGCCGCCGTTACCTTGCACTGATCGACACTAGCGAGCTCTTCGCCACCCCGCCACGCATGGAGCCGTGCAGCTCCTGCTCCACGGTCGATGACTCAAACAGCACTCTGTTTCTGTTCTTCTCACAACTCCTCAATAAGGAACTCAAATTTGGACGGAGAGAAGAAACCTAGGTTCAATTGGAATTTTGTTGGGAGAAGGGGAGATCTCCATAACCTTCCCTCTCTCTTTTCTTTTTCTTTTTTTCTTTTTTTTAGTTGCAAGACAGAGAGATTTGAATTGGTTTTTTTTATCATTACTTTTATCTTTGAAGGGTAGCAACACTTTTGTCTCCTTATTTTTTCCTATTTACCATTAATCTATCGAAATTTTGACGCATGTATCTTTTGGTTTTTTGGTTTACAATTCTATAGAAGATCTGGTCCTGAGATGCCTTTAATAAGAGAGAGTGACTATTGCGAAAGAGGAGTGAGCAATGCCACGAGCCGTAAATGCAAGTAGATGGCTAGTAAGGAAATGCCAAAGGTTGAAGCTTCTTTTGTTACAGATTCTCTCCTCCTCAAATGAATGATTTAGATTTATTTATAGTGAGGGATAAGAATGGCTATTGAATAGGATCATATCACATGGCCATCCGTGTTTTAAAACGAAGGTATTCCACCATGTGTAAAGAGTACACGAGTCAAGGGTGAGTGGCCCATGTCATAAAGTCAGAGATGCCAATTCTCAAATGTTTGGAGTGAACTAAGAGCCCGTTTGGTTCGACTTTAGGAGAATGCATTTGAGAGAATGCAAATACCTTTGGGTTAAAGGGATTTTCCGAAATGCAAGTAGTGTTTAGTAAATATTTTTTAAATACAACTTGGGCTAAAGGACTTTTGCTAATATTTAAAAAAAAAAAAGCTCCAGTAGAGCTAAACCGCCGGCCAGATCTGGTCGCCGGCCAACCGCTGACAGCCAGATCTGGTCGCCGGCCACTGCCGCCTGGGGTCGCACAACCCCCAGTCAGTCAAGCTTTTTCCCTAATGAACCTCAGTCCGGTTCTACCATTCTCAAAAAGAAAAATTGATTAAGAAAAAAGGTCATAAATCTATTATATAAATGTCAATTCAGTCATAAACCTTTCAATTTTATCAATTAAGTATTAAACATTTTGACGATTTATCAATATAATCATTCTAGCCAATTTTGACTGGAAATTGCTGATGTGGACGATGACCGACGCTGATATGGACAATTTTTATAATAATGATCCCTCGCTTTCTTTTTGAGAACCAGAAAATTTGCTTCTATCAGATTAGATGATTGGGAAGGAGAATCCTTCGGTTCCGAAAGCAACAAGCCATGGAAGGATCTGTGATGATGTGAGGCTCAAGCATATTTCAGGGTTTTGCAGCTTGGCAGCTCCTCTCCTGGCGTAGATTTCTGAATCTTTTTGAAGACTAGTCACGACAGCGGTGCGCCAGCTTTTTTTCATCCCTGCGGATGCCCGACACGCTCGAAGTTTTCAGTCCGAGTTTTCCTCGAGGTACTTGTATCCGCTGTTTTATTAATGCCCTTGTTTCTCATCCATCAACATCTTCCACAATGCCTGAACCTTCACATTTTCAGTGTGGAACGTCAATGTCCGCAATAAACAGAGTATCAGTAGAGTAGGTTGTGTAGATTAGACTATATGCATTACGCAGCTCCAAGGGCAATTATAATCGTGTGAGGGAATCAAAATTTCTTTTGGCTTACGGAGTGGAACACCATAGCATGCTCCTCTGTCCTGCATCGCAAATGTAGGGGTTGGATATTGGTTCCACGACATCGAAGACAACGGTATATCACTAAAACTTAGTGTGCATTGAGACCTGTTAGAAATATATTATCTGATTATGATTCTGAGAGATACTCATAATCTGAATAACGAGATTATAATTCTGAAAGATACTCGGAATCAGACAATATATTTCTAACAAGACCATCATATCAGGCCTACCGCCAATCCCGTTACACAATGCCTTCACACCTACGTAAGTAAACAAAGCCAGAAATCGTGAATCCAATAGAGAGCAAAAGAAAAACCCTTCCAAAGTCAAACGCTGTTACGAGGCTCGTCCGACCAAACTATTCACGAACTGAGGGAATATAAGCATGTGAAAACAGAGGTGGCCTTGGCAGGCACTAATTGCCAAAAAAACACTGCACAGTTCCGACGTGAGTAATGCGGCCAATGCTTAAACGATCCTGAGAATGTCATTCCTGTTGATAATATAAACTGGAACTCTGAATGATTCGCGTCAAGCACCTGTTGCTCCCACTAGGATACCTATAATTCTTGTGAGTAGTGCCGTTCAATTTTTGGGATTTGAAGAGAGTTTGAGGCTGATTCTTGGCTCAGGTCTAACTCTTTCCTCCCTACTCCACAGATGAAGATGATGTTCATTATGGACTTCGATGATGCACACAAGGCTGTCCATTGCCTCCAATGCTAGTTACCCCTTGATTAGCTGGTGATCAATTTAAATGAAAAACAAATTGCTTGCACTGTCCAGGACATGGACACTTCCCATATCAATGCCTGCTCTTACAAATTGGAATGGATTCAACAAAGAGAAAACTTGAGTGAAATGCCATCGCCCGATCGACAAATGACTGAACAATCCCAATTAGCTTGTTGACTCGAGGACTTGCAACTTAATCCATATGAGTGTAGAACCTCTCTCAATTCCACAATATAGCTGTCTACCCAATGAATCAACATAAATTATCAAACCGTTATGCTGAGTGTAAAACCTCAATCATCTGCACCCAAATGAAAAGGCATTTTCTTCCATTATTTCCAAAGTAAATCCCAACCTTCGTTAGGAAAATTTGCACGAAATTTCGGTCACGCACATTTTGCTCGTTTCATCCAGTAGCTTAGAAGTCTCATCGTTCATGGGAACACCATCTTTCTTCATCCGCTCAGCAATAACAAGTGGCATCACACCGGCTTTGGCATAAGTTTGTAGCAGTGAATTGTAGACCTCAGTACTAACATGGCCAGCATTTCGAAGAATGACTAGCAGTGCCTCTGCTCCTTCAACATTTCCATGCTCCTGTAGGTTCTCAAATAATTGTGCAATCAACTTTTTGTCGTACTGCCATTTTTCAACAGTACCAATAGCTTTATTCAGATAATGAAGAGCTTTATCCATCTGCTTCTCCTTCAGATAACCCCATGTCAGAAGCTCCCAAGTAGTGTAACAAGGAGCAACCCCCTTTTCTGAAACCCGTTCATAGAATTTCTCTGCCATTTCCATCTGGCCATTGTTCACGTGAGCGGCAAGAAGTATGTTTGCAACCCTAGGATCGCCGGTTTTAGAAACTAACTCCCATTCAGTATAGAGCTTCTCCGCTTCTTTGAGGTCCCCAAGTTTTACAACTGACGAAATCATGCAAGTGTATTCAGCATCATTCATTTTCGGGAATAATGATTTCATCTTTTTCCATATCCGATGAACCCCATCTTTGTCTCCCATATTCGTGTATAAACTCAGGAGGGATGAGTACGCAACCCGAGTTTTACGTGAAGTCCTTTTCTCCATCTCTTTTATAGCGGATAATGCTTTTTCCAGAGAGGCATTTTTAATGTATAGATTGGTCAGAATACTGTAGCTAAACCAGTCAGGAGGTATTTTTGCCTTCTTTAGCTCGAGGAAAACCCTTTCAGCTGTTGCAACATCATTTTGCTCCTTGCAGGCTGTTAACCACAGATTATAAGTGATTATGTCTGGAGAAGTGCTCCTTTTCAACTTTTCAATCACGTCAGGAACCTTCTCCAGTTGTGCACTGGACACATACATAGATAGCATGTGGTTAAAGGGAAGAGGGCTCTTCAAGAAACCGCAATCGGACATTTTCTCAATTAAAGCCTCAGCTTTGCTGGACAGCTGCTTCTTGGCATAGTTGTGGAGGAGAGCATTGCAGGTATGCCCCCCTCTCATCTGAGATGGAAGATCTTCGAAGAACTTCTCTGCACTGTTAAGCCCACGAACTTTAGCAATCAAGTCCAGGTGAACAGCATAGTCACCGGCTAACAACTTGATATCTTGCTGTAACCTCATCCACTCACATATCTGGAAAGGAAAGTATGTAACAGAACATTACGCATTCATGTTATAATCATTAATACTATCACAAGTTTGAGGCTAGACTAGTTCTTAAAATGAAGCCATGCCAGAACCGATACATGTTGGCCTTCTATAAGCAACTTGTTGAGTCTAAGGACAACGAGCTCCCGCTATCTTAGGTACGTAGATTGTGTAGGTTCCCTAGAAGTTTGTTCAATGGAGCAAAAAAAAGCCTTACAGATTTGCCAATTAAAGTTTTTCCTACATTAACATCTTCAAGCAACTTTCGCTAAAAACCTCAATGACTCGATAGAGATTTATCTGCACACATGACAAGGATCTTCTAAAAGAATTTTCATATTTAGTACCTTAGAAAGCACTACAATTGTTTGACTGCGCAACTGACCATAAGTAGCACTTGCCATCCCATTTTGCCAAATGGCTAAGTATTTATTTATAATAATCAACACTTTTTTGAACTTGTCCACATAGATACTAAAAGAAGACCATACCCTCTCTTTACTCTCTCCTATAACTTATTAATCAAGATCTAAAAGTTTTAAGTGCTTGCTCCAGCTAATTGGATATGAGATGTGATAAGGTAACTCATCTTATCTTGTAGTCAGGTCAACTAAGTAAATCCACTAGGGGACAATAGACCAATCCTGAATTAAAAAAAATAGAAAAGGAGAAGGGGATAACAGGATATGGGGATATCAAGAAGATACGCATTTTGGTTTAAAGGGGATAACAAGGCTACCCAGTCATTTGTGTAATGTCACCAGCACCAGCACCAACATCAGCACAATCACAACCGTTTCCTACCACCATTGCTCAGCAACCATCCATCCATTACCACGACAAGAACAAAGCACTGCCACAAACATGGTAACATCTGCACATCTCCCTACCACTACACACACATCCATTCCCCCGTTTCTCATCCACCAACACTATTCTCGATCATGCCCCCGAGAGATAGATAGAGTGCGCGTGTTATACATTAACCAGCATTACCATTCTATAATACTGCCCGCGGTAATACTTATCAGCACATTTGCAATTAGCGACCAAGATGCTTAATCACCAATCAAATTTTAGCGAAATCAAATAAAACCAAGATCAAGATGCATTCATCGTATGCCAGATTTTCAAAAAATTAGACAAGTTGCCTCAAATTCCCCGTCTTTTAGTTTTCATTGTCAACTCTTACCCATTCAACATCATGTACCCATCGCCAAAGGAAAGAAAAAACAGTACCCATCTAATTTGTCTCACTGTTTCACGAATTACCACCATGTCGAGAAACGTACTCAATATCAGTCACTTGCTCAGCTCCAACCTACTTATGATTTCGAACTACAGAGCTCTTGCAATGGCGTCCATTTTTCCGAGGAATCGACTCTTCTCTTATAAAAAGTATTTGAGCTTTGTCAATAAGTTCAAAACAGAGGGAGAGAGAGGAGAACCTCGAGGGCGTGCTTGTAGCGCGTGAGCTTGCGGAGCTCTCTGACGATGCGATTGAGCTCGTACTTGCGCACCGCGCCGCCTTCCTCTTTCCACTTGCGGATCGTCACCACCGCACTGCGCTTCGCGTACACCAGGCTCAGCAGCCTCTTCCCCAGCGTGTCCCCGCCCTTCCGCTTCGGCGCCGCTCCCGAGGTCGAGGCCGCCGACGGGCTCTCCGCCACGGCCTCCGCCGAGAAGCGGCGGTGGCGGGCGGCGCTAGAAAGCGTTGCGCGGAGGGAGCGAAGCAGCATGGCGTACCGCTTCTGCGTGCCCTCAATTGCTTAAGCAACTTATATATATTGGTTTGGACCCCATTTCAAAAGCCCAAAACGTTCTTCGTTCGCTAATGTTTTTAAGCAGAAAAGCACCAACAAGTTCTTTTTTTTTTTTAGGGATAAGTGTACTACAAGTCCTAAAACTTATCACAAAAGTATATTTGAGTCCTAAAACTTACAAAAAGTGTAATTGAGTCCTAAAACTTGTCAAATTGATTCAATCGAGTCCTAAACTTAACATCGTTAAATTTACTAACGGAAAACGCTGACGTGGCGCTGATGTGTCATATTTTAATACTTTTATTGAGACACGTGGCGTCCAACAAACGCCACATCAGAAAAAGTTGAAAAAAATGTAAATTAAATTAGAAAAAGCTATAAAAAAACAAAAAAAAGGAAAAAAAAACCCTAAACCAGCAGCTGCGGCGATGGCCAAGCCCTCGCCGGTGGCCGCCGCCACAGCCGCTGGGAAGGACCGGCGGAGGTCGCCTGGGCCTTCCCGAAGCCCGGCGACCCTCGCCGGCCCAGGCGAGTCCGGCGAGGGCTGCGGCCCCGTCTGGGGGGAGGGCGCGACCACTCGCCCGGATCTAAGCAAGGGTCGCCGGCGAGGCCTCGCCCGGGGTGGGCGACCCCGAGGCGAGCCCCGCCGGCCCTCGCCGGCGCCCGGTGACCCTCGCTCAGATCTAAGGCGAGGGTCGCGCCCTCCCCCAAATCGGGGGCTTCATGCCGTCGTCGGGGACCGGTGGGGCCGATGAGGGTCGCCGGGCTTCGGGAAGGCCCAGGCAACCTCCGCCGACCCTTCCCGGCAGCTGTGGCGGCGGCCACCGGCGAGGGCTTGGCCACCATTGCAGCTGCCGGTTGGGGTTTCCTTTTTTTTTTTATATAGCTTTTTTTCTATTTTTATTTTTATTTTTGCTGACGTGGCGCTTATTGGATGCCACATCATTGCCACGTGTCCCAATAAAAGTAATAAAATATGACACGTCAACGCCACGTCAGCGTTTTCCGTTAGTAAATTTAACGCTGTTAAGTTTAGGACTCGATTGAATCAATTTGACAAGTTTTTGGACTCAATTGCACTTTTTGTAAGTTTTAGGACTCAAATGCACTTTTGTGACAAGTTTTAGGACTTGTAGTGCACTTATCCCTTTTTTTTAATATCATCTCTTTTTGTGGACATATGCATAAATTGTCCAAAAAATCCTTAACATATTGTACAACAGGCACAATTGAAAGGTTTGGAACTGAATTGATAAATTGTCAAGAGGTTTAGAACTAAATTGGCATGATTGAAAAATTTATGACTGAATTTGTGCCATACAATATGTTTAGAACTTTTTGAACAATTTTCCAGCTTAAATTGCGGGATTTCATTTTGAAACGTCCAAAAATCTCACAATATATTTTTTTACAATCTTGGGCAAACCATTTGTCAAATGCTTTTGAGCCTAAGAGACTTTGGTCAAAAGTCAAAGCAATTTAGCAAATTTTTGTATAGAGTTTTAGAAAAATGCATTATATTTCCAAAATCCTCTAAAGTCCCTTAGCCCAAGGCAGATTCATAACAGCTTTGGGCTTTAGCATTTTTCGGAATGCTAATGTATTTTTTTCTTCTAACTTTGCCTCTCTATAGAAACTCTGAAAATGCCCTCATCAGGAGACGTCATCGATGAGGCCAAATCTAACTGCTGGCAAGGCTAGATCTAGTGGCCGGCAATCTCAGGCAAGGCATGCCAGCGCTAGATCTAGCTCACCGGCCACCTAAGCCCTGCCGACGAAAGGTTGTGGTTTTTTCTTTTTAAAAAAAAAAGAATAACAAAAGTCATAGTTTCTTCCGACCAACATTTAAACCAAAATTGCTTCGCAATACACTTTTAAATTACACTTTACAAAACACTATTTGCATTTAGAAAAATTCCTTCCAACTAAAGTCTTTTGCATTACTCCAAAAACTTTTCCCAAAAATGTTACCGAACGCAGCCTACGAGTCTTCAAGGCGATGGCACGTAAGGAAAATGTCATAGAGGACAAAATAAAGAAAAGGGAACGCCAAAGATTGAAGCCTCTTCTGTTGCGAATTCTCCTCCTCAAATGAACGATTTAGGCTTATTTATAGAGGAAAAGTATCAGAAAAGTCATAAACATTTTGCATTGATGCCAATTTAGTCCTAAACCTTTTTTTGGTGTCAATTCAGTCCTAAACATCTTACGTTGAACTGGGCGAGGCTCGCCCTCACCGAATCTGGCGAGGCTCGAGCCTCGCTAGCCATCGGGTGAGGTCCGACCTCACTAGATCTGGCGACTAGCTGGAGGAAGAAGAAAGGGGAAGAAAAAGAAAAGAAAAGAAAATAATAAAAAAATCGAAAAGTATTAAAATATTATTAAAAATTATCTACGTCATCGTCGGCTGGTGTCCACGTCAGCAATATCTAGCCAAAATTAGCCGGAATGACTAAATTGGTATAAAAACAAAATATTTGGGACTGAATTGACACCAAAAAAAGGTTTAGCACCAATACAAAATGTTTATGACTTTTCTAACACTTTTCCCTTATTTACGGTGAGAGGTAAGAAATTGCTATTGAACAGTGTAATGTGACATGGCGATCCATGTTTTGAAATCGACAGAATGTTTCCTGCCACATGTAAAGAGTATACTAGTATACTAGTTAGGGGTAAGTGGCCTGTGTCACAAGAACATGGATCGACACCAAGCCCCTTAGAAAATGTTAGGCATGAACTAGGTCGGTCAAGTTTTCCCCAACGAGCCACGGTCTGAACTTACCACTCTCAAATGGAGGGATAATTAAGGATTCTACCACTAATCCATAATTAACAACGCAGAGGTACGTGGGCCGTAGTCAAATTCTAAATTACTAATCAAGATGATATGATCCTCGTACATTCGATCGATATACAAGAAAAGATCGATTTATTCAAAATAATATGAAATGTAATGTCCTGTTCCAGGTGTTTGAGTTGCTTGGAACAATTAAGGCACGAAGGCTCTTTGTTGAATGATAACCTAAATGCTCTGTTCAGGGTAAGTGACGGGACTTTGCTTCTTTTATGATATATTAAGGGAAAATGACACAAATAGTCCCTGAACTTTGATCCAATGTGCAATTTGATCCATGAACTTTTAATTTGTTCAATGTGGTCCCTGAACTTTTAATATGTGTTCAATTTAGTCCTTGAACTATTTGAAAATGTTCAATATAGTCATTCCATTAATTCAAGTACATGGACTATATTGAACATTTTCATATAGTTCAGGGACTAAATTGAACACAAATTAAAAGTTCAGAGACCACATTGAACAAATTAAAAGTTCAGGGATCAAATTGAATATTATGTTAAAGTTCAGGGACTACATTGAACAAATTAAAAGTTCAGGGACCAAATTGCACATTAAGTCAAAGTTCAGGGACTATTTGTGTCATTATCCCATATATTAATTATCATATACTCCTCCAAATCTTTAAGTTGCCCTACCGTAACTTTTATATTTCGTTTGTTACTCCCATTTATATTTCGGCCACAAGGTTTGATGGATGACAAAATAAAAATCAAATTTAAGAGCTCTTATATCGGAGAAATTGTCCAAAAAGCCATAAACATATTGCACTTTTGCCAGTTCAGTTCTAAACATTTCAATTTTATAAACCTTTTTACTTATTGCTAAGTCCATCCGGCTAATTTTGACTGGAAATCGTTGACATAGACGCCAGGCGACCTACGTGGCATCAATGTAGACAATTTTAAATAATATTTCATATTTTTTGAATTTTTTATTTTTCTTTTCTATTCTTTTTCTTTTTTTCCTTTTTCTTTTTTTATTTTTATTTTTCCTCCCCTTCTTCCTCCTCCAGCCAGTCGCAGAGCCTCGGCAATCGGCCAGAGGTGAGGGCTAGCGAGATCGACCTCGCTAGCTTCGGGTGAGCCTCGCCCCTGCCGGCCACCGGCAAGGGCGAGCCTCACACCCTTATCAGTGGCCGGCAGGGGTGAGGCTTGGCGACCGGCTGGAGGAGGAAGAAGAGGAGGAAAAAAAATTTATTAAAAATTGTCCAGTCGATGCCACGTAGGTCAGCCGGTGTCCACATCAATAATTTCCGACCAAAATTGATCGGATGGACTCAATTGGCAAGAAATGAAAAAGTTTAGGACTCAATTGACAAGAAATGAAAAAGTTTAGGACTCGATTGACAAAATTAAAATGTTTAGGACTGAATTGGCAAAAATACAATAGGTTTATAACTTTTTGGACAATTTTTTCCTCTAATATCTTAGTAAGTAGTGCAAAGGAACCGGGAACCGCCTGGACCGCCTAGAACCAGATCAAAATCGGCGGTTCCCGTGGGAACCGGTCTGATTCCCGATTTCAATCTACTAGAAATGGTGAATACCAATCCAGTTCCCGATTCTAAGCGTAGAACCGCTTACCCATCCACCCGGACTAGACTGGTAATATATATATAATTTAAAAAAAAAATTCCAACCAAAAAGAAAAAAGAAAACATTTTAAGAAAAATGAAAATCCTAAAATCTCATCTAAAGTTTAACGCCCATCAACTAAGTACTCATCTCGTCTCTCTCTCACTTTGTTTGAGTTATCTCTCTATCTCTCATTCATGGTCTCGATTCTTAACCTCATCGCCCATTGACTCACGGCCTCGACTCTCAACTCCTATTAACTCACGGCTAAGCCTCCGGCCGTTCATTGCCTCCCTTTCTCGCTCTTGGTCACCTCTATTTGCATGAAGCTTGATAGGACCGATTCCATGGACTCACCTCTGAATCGGACCGAATCGGCAGTTTGGTTCTCGGGTGGATCCATGGAACCAACGGGCGGTTTCGGTTCCAATTTTTCGGAACCGACCCTTAATGAGCGGTTTCCGATTCCATGTTGGGAACCGCCCACCCGGACCATACTCACCCCTATTAGTAAGGGTCGACCACCATTGGATCAAGTCACTGGTTATCACGGTTCGGACACGATTTTATTCTCCTTAACTCAAATAAAACGAATTTC